TGCTAACAATGACTTTGACAGTTTGTTTTTAACAAATATTCTGACAGTCAGAAGGTTAAGTAATATATAAGTATGGGGAAAATGCAATGATTTTAAAACCTGCCAATACTTCAGCATAAAACTTATTAGTAAATCCTTTCGCCTCTTTAAATAAGCTCCTGAACTATCCAAGAACACCCGAAATTACAGTTACAAAGAACCAGTCAAAAAGTGGCCTACTTTAGGAATGAGATCAAGCATGGGTTTGAATCCGGCGCAAACAGTTTCCTCGAAGAGCGTTGTGTACTTCAGAAAGGCGGGTATTAGGTTCGCCGAGTGCTCTACTGCTGGATCAGAGCCATCGCCGTCAGCCTCCACCCTATACTTGCGGAGGTGTAGTTGAACTACAAGAGCAGTGGATGGAGTGATCTCCTCCACCGAGGGTGCACCCTCAACTTCCGCGGACCACTGAGCGGCACGGGTGCACATCTCCGCTACGAGCCGCCAATCGTCGAGACAAGGACGCAGAGTGGGATCACGGTGATTCGGTGGCGGCGACCAATGCTCCGGATGCAGAATCATCCACTCTGTCCAGAGCCGCAGCGCAGGCAGCAGGATGCGCAAATCAGGGTGAAGCCAATTCTCAGAGGTTCTAGACTTCGGCTGAGACTGTAGGTGTAAAGCAAGAAATTCCCAATTGGCATTATAATTCCGCTTGAAACTTCCCGCCAACCAAAGGCATTTGGTCTCAAGCATAAAGATTATTAAAGTAAAGCATGTAGAAACACTTAAAACATGAGCAACCTTTCAACACAAGAAGGTACTCGAGCTTTGGTAAAGGACCAAAGCCATTTGTATGGATTAGCAAGACTGTACTCACCTCCGTAAAGAGTTTAGCAGCTCTACGACAAATAAGGCTAAAAGTGTCGAGGGCGAAGCGTGCTGCATGGTCGTGATGCACCGAACGAAGAGTCTCCGGCTCAACTTTGGGTTTTTGCAGAAGCAAGTGTTGTTGTTGTTGTTGTTGCTGTTGTTGTTGCCTTTGGCTCATTTCAGTAACACAAGCGTGGCTCCCTCCCGTGGCACCAACCCTACTGACCGCAGAGTGAGCTGTGAACATAGCTGCACGATCTAAGTTGAACATGTTAACCATGAGTATCTGACATAGACGATCTTCTGATAGGGGACACGGTCGCTGAGCCAGGAGACCAGAGAGAGCCTGTAGGGCCATGGACGCAACTTCGGGGAAGGATTCCATTCTTTGTACAAGGAAGAGCAGAGGTCCGTTAAAAGGTGCCATGAATATCTTTGCTGTAACCGTGGTCAAATGCGCTACCGGAATCCTAATTATCCTAGTCACATCATCTGCAGATATTTTTTTAAAGCAACCGTGATTGGAATTACTTGCATAAAAGCTAATGCATTTTGGTAACAAAACTTGACTAAAGCGTAGCGTAACCGATATTATTCAATGTGATTGGCCTTCGAATAAGTTTCGACTGCTAGTTATTCAGCACATAGTTTGAACTACAAAAGGCAGCTCTCAGTAGACAAATTTGGCGCCCAAGTCTGTCTGATGGGAAGTTAAAACAGCCTATTATTTGGAGCAAAGGGAAACCCACCGGGTTCTAACCAACAACAAAGTTATCAGTAATATCTACTCACACGGATCATTAAAAATTTCACCATATTTTCATCTTACCCTATTTTCGTAAAAAGTTGGCCGTGGGCATGCATGAAATGAAGTCCAAACAACTTTGTTAGCTAAAAATAGAAGCGTATAAGTCGCATTATTTTAATGATGAACACAATGCAAGAAATTAAGTGCTTGAACTTGCTAAATCACTGTACATGCATAAAACAATCAG